CAAAGCTTGGTGACTTTTGGCATATTTCTTTTACCTTTTATGTGGTCAAAATCAGAAGACAAAGGCATTTTGAAACTTTTCCACCCGTCACTCTCATTTTCCATTCTGTTTCTTTTCATTTCTTTATTTATTCCCCATTCCCATTGGACCAACTCACTCCCCACTCACATTTGATTATCAAATTATCTCTTTTTCTTATTGGTCCAAATTTTATCCTAATAGCTTCCCATCCGCCACCTCACTTTCTCATTGTTTTATTTTCTCTCATTTTGCTTACTCATGGGTGGATTGCCCAAAGTTACTTCCTTTTTCCATTGTTTTCTTTTCTTTCCTCTTTACATGTCATGCGATTCAACTTCTCTCTTTGTTATTATCAACACCTCTCATTGGTGGCTTGTTCATGCAATGTTTCCTCCTATTTCATTTATATTACATTTCACATGTATTTTATTGCATTTCATTTTCATTTCCATTCAATGCCACCTTATCACCCAAAAATATTTCATGCTATGATTATACCTTTTCCTTTTCAAATCACATTGCCATCCTTATGTTGTTGACTATGGGCTAGTCTTATTAAACTATGGTTTTCTCTCATTTAAATACTCTTTATTCTTTTTTCTCTTTATCAACTTTCACATGGTGGAGTCCCACATGTTTCCCACTAACTTATTTCCTTTTCAATGCAATGATTTGCATATAATAGTGAATTTTACATGCACATCTCATATTCCACATAATCTAACCTTCCTTGGTTAGTAAATGTCCATTTAATTAAAATTGCACATATGTCCGTAAACTTTTTCTTATTTACTATTTGACCCTGTAAACTTTCATCTTTTACAATTTGATCCTTCCAACATGTTTTAAACTCTAATTTTCTTCTATCTTCTTTCCTTTACACGTGTGTAAACGAAATATAAAATTTGCACCTTGTCAAGGTGTCACAATAATAGTTAAATATATACTTGCCCACTCTAGGTTTATTTAATAAAGGCACGTGGGTCCCACTAATGTAGTTTTTCTTCAAAATTCTTTCTTACATCTCCCCCACTTAGATTAGTCATATAATCCTCTTTCATAACTAATTTCAACAACAGTTAAAATATTAATATTTTAATATTATTGTATTAAAAAAATAATATTTTAATCTAAAATTCTCCACTTGTCTCCTCGGGACGCAAAATGTCTGACTTTGTCTCGGTTGACCTCGGATTCACCTTTTAACTTGCTAATTCATCCTAGATAAGAATATTACTATTCACTTTCTATTTTTTTGCATACGAAATATTTTATTTCAAACTATTCCTTTCACTTATCACTGCTCCTTGGCACTTAGATTTATGTCAATCGACCATTTGTCTTGTCGAAAAGGTCGTATTGGCTCCAATACAAGGGTATGGGGTGTTACATGAATATATTTAAGTCGTCATTCAATGCAACAGCCTTTTTCTTCACAGTTTTATATTTGAGAGCAAGTTTTTCAAATTCAACATATAGATAGTCATATCCATCTTGCAAATTATCATAGGAAATATCACATGAATTAGAAGTTACCTCAATTTCTTCTTCCTTTTCAATTAAGCAAAAATTGGTGCTTTTTTCAATTTTTCTTTTTCTTCATCTGAACTTGATGAATCACTATTAGATCATGTTGCTGCCACCATTGCTCTTTTTGGTTTCTTTATTTTCTTTGAGGTTTTTTCTTTGAGTAATGGGCATTCTGATCTGAAGTGTCCTAGTTTTTTTGCATTCAAAACATGCCAAGTCATTTTCTTGTAATATTTTCTTCCAAACTTTTTGCCTTTTTGTCCCATTAACTCTTTAAATTTGTTGGCCATCACGGTTAGCTCTTCATCATCATCACTTAATAGTTCTTTTAATTCTTCTTTTAGTAAGCTAAGCTTGAATGCTAGATTTCTCTTCTTCTCTTTGGCTTTTTTCTTTTCCTCTTCTTCTTCTTTCATTTCAAGTTCATGTGTGAGGAGTGACCCAAAAATTTCATTATGTATGACCACATTGAGATCTTTGTCCTTTCGAATAGCTTTAACTTTGGGCTTTCAACTTTTGAGGAGACATCTAAGTAATCTTTTCACTGACTCAAGTTTAGGGATAGTTTTTCCAAGTTGATTAAGCTTGTTTGTAATATTGGTAAACCTATCAAACATGATAGAAACATCTTCACCCGATTCCGTTTTAAACATTTCATAATTATGGGTGAGTAAGGCAATTTTGGACTTCTTTACTTGAGAAGAGTCCTCATGAATGACTTTAAATTTTTCTCAAATCTCTTTGGCTATAATACAGCTAGAGATTTTGTTGAATTCTAAAGGAGTGAGCACACAATGAAGGGTGTTGATGGCTTTAAAATTAGTTTGGACTTTTTTGATTTTATCATC